ACTCAGAAGTATGAAACATTGCTTTAAGCCATCACTAGGGTTTAAATCTTGCAAATAGCATCATACTCATTTTAGTGTAGCATAATCTGTATCTCCTAATTCAATCATTCGAACGTTGATTTGAGAGTTTGTGAAAAAAGCCTCGAATAATTCTGTACAGCCCTTATCATCACCTGCTTTTGATTCTTGCAGACAATCATATCTTTGCCTGGGGAAACGCAGGAAACGGGCGCCTCGGGATGCCGGCTGATAAGGGCTTCGGTTCAGAGGTGTGCCCTTCCATGCCAAGGCCGATCTTTGGCTCCCTCCATCATGTGCCGGACCTCTCCTGCCGTGGCTGGCACACCATCATCATAATGGGTCAGTAATGAAAACCAGACACTTGCACATCGTACGGTCACCGGGAGCCAGCTGACTAATATATGTTCTCCTTTGCAGAGAAAGTGCTCAACTCCAAGACTATTCGCTCTAACAGCAGCGGTATATCAATTGGTAGTGGTAAATACTTTTCTTTGATCATTGATTCTTCTTCTGCTTTAAAATTAAGTCTTCATTTTCACCTGCAAGTCTACATTGCTGATGTGCAAGTTTCAATGTACGTATAGGACTGGGCCAAGGAGCATCTACATCCACAGTGGATCTGGACATAGACCCTGGATCAGAGACAGAGTGTCGTGACCGGGGCCTTGGGGGAACACGGGAGGATAAAACAGAGGAGTGCTTCATGGAGACGTCGAATATGTCACTAGCAAGTCAGAGTGGGGACAGCTCCTGCCCCCTCTGGCTCAGGAAAGTGAGTTATCAGGAAACCACAGAGGAATAAGTCAATAGAATTCCCTGCATGGCGAGTCGTGGTGTTCTAATTCACAGAGGTTTTCATCCAACAGGAGCTCGAGAACGCAGAGTTCATCCCCATCCCACTGGACTCTGAGGCATCCACTCCTAACCCGCTCTCTTCTGTCTCTGAGACCGTCACTCTACCTTACGAGGAGCTGAAAGAGCTGAAGGCTGCGGCAGCAGCAGTCAGCACAAAGAAGGAGCTATCGGTAACGCTAACACAGCTGTTCTTTGCATTCATATGGACATGAATGGTGTACTCCAAATGAACACTTTCAGATACTGCTATTCACACTGCATTTTAAAACCCATCCACCTATTTCCAGACTAAACGAATGGGCTGTGATAAAGTCAACGGACTGGAGGAGGCTGACGTCCGCAAAAAAGGACAGTCTGGTGCCTGCTGCGAAGCAAGTAGTGAAGTCACACAGGTATCTTAATCTGTGTACTAAAAAACATGATCCACACTACATTTTTATTGTCACAGTATTTGACCGAGTTTATTCCGCAGCTGCAAGAGACGGTTGCTCGTCAGGATTTGAGGATCCAAATGCTGGAGAAGCAGGTGAGACGTTTTTCCCAAAAGTCACCCGTCCGTCTCATTTTGATCCGTGTTCATGAGTAACGGCGTGTGTTCCTTCTTCTAGGTCAACGAGCAGCGGAAGGAGAACGAAAGGCTTTGGGCAGCCATCAATCGCTCAACGCTACGGGAAGCAGGATGTGACAACAACGGAAACCATCCCTCTGACGCCCGTATGCCCGGGGATGGGGGGGAAAGAGGAGGCAGACTCACACACCATGGGGGCCGACCTGCAGGGGCCAGCGTGTGAGACTTCACCTGCAGATGCCCTGGTTATGGGAGCGTGTCAAAACTCTTATATCGAACCAAACAAGCTGGTTGGATGTGCAGTAGAGGGTGCAGCCTCCTGCCTGTTTGACAATGGTTACATACAGTATACATATTTCAAATGTAGTTGCATGATGACATTCTGTTACGTTATACTGTATAATGCCTTGCACACTTGTTCACAACTGAAATGTTGGCTGGGTTCACCATGAAGCCCCTGAGAGAGGATCATCATAGTGTTACTCTGCTTTGTGAAAGTCGTTTTTTGATGGACTTTTAAGATGATGTCAGCATTGTTTATTCAGTCCTTAGTGCCTCACATATGTGCATTTAGGTAAGAGAATCTCATGTGACTATGAAATAGTTTGCGAATGCATCCAATGTTTAGAGTTTCCTCTTGTCAATTGTTAGGATATTGGCTGCCGGGATGTTGTCCAGATTGATCATGTTGGCGCAATCTTCCAATGTGAAAAAAAAACCTTTTGTATGTATCACTTTATTCTTCATTACTGTACTTCCATTTGATCTTCTTAGAGAAGGTTAAAGTGCCAAAGACAAAAAGCCTCTAAGACTATTTTCCATATTTATCGGACATGTAAGCTATTACAAACATATTCAACTTATCTCATGCAAATATATACTTTTTTTAATGTACATGACTTAACATATGAAAGTATTTGTGTGAACACGTAACTACTGAATCATACTTTTAAGACACCTTTTATTTTTGCCTTCAACGCTTGAATTCTTGTGGGGCAGCACATGCACAACACTTGAAACGTTTTCTTTGAATGGTGAAACATTCATTATATAGCTCATTGCAGCTATAATGTCATTGTTTTTCTTGTGCATTTTTAACCATTTTATCTGTCTTTGGTACTTTCTGAATTTATGTTTCACCATATTTTGAAATATTTGTGAAAGCAAATATGTATGTTTTTTGTGTGATATAACAACAAATGCAACAGTGCCTTAGAAAGCTATATAAACCAAAACGTTATTGCATTTATGACAGTGTGTAGTGTGTTGGCAGTGTTTCATTTTTCGCAACAGTTAACCAAATATTATGGAGATGTAACAGTTGTATACACTCTTTTCTTACAGGCACACTGTAGATTCAGTCTTTGTTTAAAAGCCATAAATAAAATAACACCTGTCTTTTGTTCTGGTCTACTGTCAATATGTATACAAACCACAATACACCACACTAAACCTATTTGTTGATAGCAATATGCACTATTCTTGAGTAGTATGTTACATTTTTTTTTTAAGGCAATTAATAATTACAGTATGCTAACGGGTCCCGAATTTACCTGCACGTGAGCCAGCCAGAGGAAAGAGGCTGAACACCGTGTGTGTGTCTGTGTTTATACTCTTTGACAATGGGAGGAGTTATCAGATCCTCCCATTTGGACCTTCTTGATTGGCAGCCCCAAATATCCCTAACACCTTAGACCTTAGGTTTCCCCAATCACTGTAGCTAGATCTAAGTTGAATGCAACTCAAGACATGCTCTCACCTTCCCCCATCTTCCTTTGTCCTCAAAAACACATGTCAACAGGCCCCAAATCCAGCTCACAGTTTTACCCAAATTATTCCCATTTTAAGCTTATCCATAGTTTGCTAACATGAATAAATACAAATATTTCACTACAATCTTCACTTCTAAAAGGGGTAAATTAATAATTATTTTTCTCAAAGCAAGGTTACATCTGTGAGTTGGATGTAGAAGTGTCAGAATCAATATAGATGTTTTTATTTTAAAGTAAATTCAGATGGAACATAGTAAAAACATGTAAATTCTAATGTCCACCTAAAAAAAAAACTTTACTTATAGTGAAAACCACCCTTGCATGATGGGTTAGTAGACTAAAAGCTTTAGGAATCCAAACTATAACATATAATAAGTACCCTGTATCAAGATTGATGCAAAACAAGTGAAATTTGATCTTTTTAGAGAGATTTAGAAAAATAAAGTCTAAGCGGACTCACCTCTGGGTAATTTGGGAACCATCGGTTCCATTTGAACTTTTTCACTGTAAAAATCATTTTATTACTTTGAATTATCACTATAGGTATTCATTCCATCCAAATACAACTGTTGTGAAAAAAAATATAAAATAAAATAAAACATAGGCTTACTCTTACAGTGAGCCTCTGAATTAGCCCCGAGCGAAAAATGCTAACCTATTACAGCACCGAAAATCACTCCTCGCTCCCTTATTACTTATCCTAGCTGCACATCCAACACATTGTTTATGATCGCAAGGAGACACAGAATCTAACGGTGCCCACCTGAACAGCCCAACACTGAAAGATACAAACTCGCGACGTTATCAACAAAAACGTACATCAAAACAAATGGCGCTAGCGCTAATGCGCTAGGCTAACAATGACTTACCTTCCTCGTTGTCTGGTCTAAACTGGTCTTCAATGGCATTAAAACGATAAAAACGATGATGTAGTTAATCCATAGATTAATATCCAATGGGGCTGTGTCCCCTTTGAAATGTTCTGATAATCTATAAGCAATACAACTGCAATTCCGTTATCTGCTGTCCGCTCTGTGCTCCGTGCGCTCTGGGTCCTGCTGCATTTCCTGCTTCGTTACGTTGTAAACAATAAATGAAGTCGGCTGCGTAATGTACTTAAGCTGGCTGGCATTCTTTATAGTTTACGCAGGACCATATCTCTGGAACCCATTGGTCGATTCGTGTGATTGACACCTTTTTCTTAACCATCAGAACCAATAGAATCGATGGGCAGTTCCCAAATCTACGTAAACATTACCATAGCGGACGTAATAGAGAAGCAAACGAAGCATATCTGAAAGTGCAAGCCTGGACGGCAATACTTTATACCGAGTATATTGCCATAAATATGATGATTGATTATCAGTAAAAAATTATACGTGACACAAAGACATTGGATTAATCTTGAGATGCGTTTTTATTCCGTTGAACACAACTTTTGATCACAAATCAAAAAAGGTAAGACGTAATTATTGTAATATTTTTGGAACCGGATGTTGTTTACTTTCTCTTTTCTGGCTGATAGCTCCAGGAATTCGAGGTCTTACAGTGATGACATTACATGTGTGGAATCTGTGGAGTCTCAGCTTTAAATCGTATATCTTGTTTGTGCAGTTAAGATAGTAATAAGGGCATTTCTACCGTGTGTTGTGTGTAAAAAAGCGTTAGCATTAGTTAGCATTGTTTCGCTCAATGCTAATTCAAAGGCTTGGTATTACTCTTGTGTTTTTTTTAGCTAACAATTGTTCTTATTGTCAGTTAGCGGAGTTTCTTACCTTTAAAAGGGTATGAAACATTAATAGTTTCATAAATGTTAAGAAGCCCTGAGACATGTGAGAAAAAAAAAACTGTGGGAGGGGTCCACTGGGGGGACCTTCGGGCTTAACTGGTTAAAGTCTCGGCTCACTTTGTCCATTTTGGTTTGGAAGTTCCAGTTGGGAGTCGACTGTCCTCCAGATTACTTATGTTTGTCTTGTGGGGATGCCGAATGGTTTTTTTCTTCAAAACCTGAAATAAAAAGACATCAAAAATAGTAAATGCTTACTTAAATAATCAATTTACATTTCCAATAATGCAACCAATAGCACCTCTCCATTAGACTGTATGTATATATGTAAATGCACATGCCTTCTAAACTCTCAATGTGTGTTTTGTAGTGAGGTCCTGTTAATTAAACTGGCCTACCTCTGGAATCTTTGTGTGGGTTTTCCAGTACTCCTCTATGGCGGATCCCTTAGTCCTGTGTACGTAGATGTTGAAGACTGTACGCTTCGATTGTTTCAGCTTAGTACAGATTTCGAGATGCTTCTGTAATCTTTCACCTGCAAACATTCTGTTGCAGATGCTGCAAGGGACTTGTCGGAGGCTGGTGTCTGTGCTCTCTTCCTGTCTGAGCTCCCCTTGCTCTGGTCTGCTGGAATGAGAGGGATGAGAAACTGGTGGAAGCAGTTGTCCCTCAGACACTTTTCTTTCTGCACCTCTGCTGTTTCCTGTTGCAGCCTTATGAGAAGTTATGTGTTGACTACTTTGATGAGGCATATCTCGTTCATCTTCAGAGAGATACAGTTCCTTATATTTCCTTTCTCTTGACCAATCTGTATCTGCTCTTTCTTTTGTTTTTACTGCTCCATCCTGAGACCTGACACCAGTCTTTCCCCAAATGGCTTCACCTTTTTCCTCCCCTCTTTTGCTTCCGGTATGCTCCTTCACATTTCCCCTAGTTGACTTGATAAACTCTCCACTCACTTCTTGCTCATGAACTGTGGTCTGATGAGTTCCTTTATGACTTTTTCTTTGTGACTGTGCAACTTCTTTTTCCCATCTGGCCCTTTCTTCTTCATGTTTTATACTTATTCTGTCATCGATCCTCTGATCTGGCATCCTCCTGAGTTGTTTAACATCCTCCTGTCTTCTATCTTGCCACATAATTTCTCTTTCCACTGGTTCTCTCCTCTGCTGCTCAAACAGCCCACCTTTTGTCTGAACTTTTCCCCTCTCTGCTTGTCCCCTGCTGTTCCTCTGTTCCCTACTCTTGGGGTCCTCATGTGCAGCAGCGTATCTCTGGTATTTCTGTCTTACTTTTTCCTCAACGCTCCACAGCTTCTCCTGTAGCATTAGCTCTTTTTCATGAATTGCTCTGGCCATTTTCAGTTCTCCACTGGTCTCTATGTGCGAGTCTTTCCTTGTTTGCCGCGATCCAGTGGTTTTTCCGATGCCATCTGAATGGTATTTTGGGGGAAACGAAGGGCCTCTTGGTTGTTCTGTCAGAATTATTTTTTCAAAATCTTCCAGATCAAGTGAGTCTTGTTTCTCTGGGTTGAGAGGTCTTCTGTGGCTAACAGGTTTGTTTGGAAACGGCTGGTCAACTCCATCTTTTCTCTTACCAGCTACACCATGTTGTGCTTGATAGACGCTGCCTTTTCTTTGTCCTTCCATGACTTTATTGGATGTCTTTGAGGTATTATTTGTATCATATAGATCTTGAGAAACTTGAGCCGTCCACACCTGTTTTTTTCTGTATAATTTCTAGGAAAAAGAAAAAAAAGGGAATGAAGTTAAAAGAAAAAAGTGTCACTGTTCATATAAAGTAAGAGCACAGGTGAGTGTCTGCTATGAGGAAATCAGCAGATGATGATGTTTGTTGAAGAACACCGTGGGATACAGTCAAAACCTCCAGAATATGTTGTGAAAGTGGACATTGATTGGAGATATTTGTGTCGACTGTTAGTTTTGCAACCTCTAAAACAAGCCAGAAAGTGGTTCTGAGTGGACAGTTCTACATTTGTTTTCACTCCGTACCAGGAATAATGAGCAATACTAAGACAACCTTTGCAATATAAGAATAAACAAGCAAAACAATGCTAATAATTTGCCAGTTTTTGTTTTTCTTGAATAACATTCGTTTACCAAATTCTAGAGGTCAGCAAAAAAAGAAACAAGCGTCTATCTACTTACGTTTCCATCTGTGGTTGACACATTTACCCCAAAAACCTGTCTAGTTATTTTAAACACTTACTGGTATTTTGTATGTCGTCTGAATTCAAAGTGAAGCTGGGTTTAGCTCACTACAAATAATCCGTAATATCTGTTGCGACTTCTCCCAAACGTTAACATTCGTTGCCTAGAAACCAAATGTCTCGGCTCCGTTTTCTGATTGGTCCACTAAACATCACTTCCGGAAGCAGAGCCCCGTATGTTTCAACGTCGAGATCTTTCGGAGCCGGCTGGTGTATCACGGCATCCTAGCAATATTCAGGTGAATTACATGACAGCCAGTGAGCCCTCTTGTAATAATAAAGGACAAAAGCTTAACGTTTTAATTGTTCAGGAGGCACATCGTTTGAACATACATACATTATGTTAGCATAGCTTGTCGCAGCTAAAACCTAGCCCCTGTGATGCATGATGGGTGCTTAACATACATAACACAGTCACCTAAGTAGCTTTCTGTTTCTTTCTCCTTTTTTAGGTCCACTATGTGTAACGAAGACCTAATTTCAGTGGATTATGACATTTTTGGCAGAGTGCAAGGTGTATTTTTTCGGAAATACACTCAAGTGAGTTTGACAGAGATATGTTTATGTATAATAGAGTTAAACTACATGTGAATAATCTGCTTTCAATTCAAATAAGACAACGTTAACTTAAGTTTCATTCACTTGCTCTTTCTGGAGCTTTTAACCCCATCTCAAGGTATTGTTGATAGAGTTAACCCAGTTTATTTTCAAAGTAGAAATCATGATAGAAATCTTCTGAAAAGCTATTATGTGGACCTTCAGTATTCATTCTCTGTACATTAAAACATGAAAACACATTCTAGAAACCCAAAAAACAAGTATGAAACTAAAATGACCACAATATGTTTCTTATAAAATGTTTCATTTTCTAAGATGGAAATGTACAGTCTTTCTTTAATTGTTGTACATAATACTTTCAGATATAAAACTCTAGACCAATCCTGGACAATTGATCTTACTAATATTCTTATTATAGCCATATTTCTCCATCTGTAGCCTACACATGCTATTTTCTAATCCCCTGTGTTTCATTTTCCAGGCAGAAGGGAAGAAGCTTGGTCTGGTAGGATGGGTCCAAAACACAAGCGCAGGAACTGTTCAGGGCCAGCTACAAGGCCCATGCAGCAAGGTGAAGGAAATGAAAGAATGGCTGAAATCCACGGGGAGCCCCAAGTCACACATTACCAAGGCAGAGTTCAACAACGAGAAGACAGTCGATCGACTAGAACATTCATCTTTTAACATAGTAAAATAAGAAAACCTACAGATTCAGACTGTAACAATAACTTTGACAGATATTTTATTTATTCTTTTTTGTATTAGTTATAATGTGGTTCATGTAATGAATAAAAAAAAGTTTGTCCATGTTATGTCTCCTTAATTTATAAAAGATACGGAATTACATTGAATAAATGGAAAATTCCTTTAAACTCCTACCCATTGTTTGGATGTTTTTGTGTGAACCGCATGGGAATTTTTGATTAGGAGACCACTTTATTTTACATTCTGTTAAACACTGTAAATCTGTTTGAGGCAAATCAGAGTCGAGCAGAAACCCTGCTGGGAAAGTAGTCAATTGTATGACCTTAAAATCTGTCACCGCCGTCTTTATCGGCCTGTTTCACGTTTGCATGTAAAATGACTAAATGCCTATCAGAATCCTAATTTCTTCCCATAGAAAGAACTGAGCTATGGATATAGTTGTGGAAAAACACTAACAGAATAGCCAAAGATGTACAATTAGTTCATCCTCAATTTGTATAATAATAACACAAAAATACTCCTGATGAAATATGTGACACAAACTAAATGTGCCAATAAAGGGAGGAGTCAAGGCATACAAAATCTGTGCACATATTCACACACCTGAAATAAGTCAATATATATTATTTTATGTAGGAAATTAAGTGCATGAAGATTACACTTTAAATAGGCAATACTTGGGATATTGAGTGATTCATTAAAATGAAGAAGACGGTTTTGTGAAGTACATCTGAAATTGTTGCCATGTAGGCTACTAAAACTGATAACTTTATTGTTACCAACTATTTGACTTTTGTATAGCAACATTTGTTTGTTTCATACCTTTTGGTGTCGGTAATCTTTTTTATAAAATTCAATGCAACTTTGAGTGCTATAAAACTACATAACAGTCTGTCAGTGAACACATAAAATAGCACACTCCGTACAGTAGATGGCGGTATAATAAAAGCTGGTCACCAGGGAAACAGAAGGCGGAAGCTGCAGGTCGTCCACACCAGAAGATGGCGCTGTTAGCTTCGACTGTTAGCGCTTCGGTCATCTCTTGACGTTGAATGTAAACAGCAGCAGATTTGTAGAATGGATGTTGTAGCTTAATGTTTTAGTTTTTAGCTATTTATTTTTAATGTGTTGTGGTCAGAATGTCGTTGAAACTCATGGCACTAACGTCAGCCAGCGCTAAGCTAAACGTTAGCTGCCAACGGACAGTTTTTAGCCGCTTGACTACTTTGTTGCTGTGTAGTTGATAGGGTAAGATAACTTAATGAACACAATGATAAAGTGTTTGCCTAAAGAGGTTCAGGGGAAACTTCGCTCCGGTGTCGCTCTGCCCTCACTTCAGCAGTGCGTGGAGGAGCTCATCCTGAACAGCATCGATGCCGAAGCTACCTGTGTGGGAGTCAGGATGGACATGGAGGCGTTTAAAGTTCAGGTGATTGACAATGGCGCTGGGATAAACTCCGAGAATATGGATTCCCTGGGAAATCGATATTGCACAAGCAAATGCAGCTCTGTTGAAGACCTGGACAGCCTCAAGTGGTATGGTTTCAGAGGAGAAGCCCTGGCAAGTATAGTTTCTCTCTCCACACTTGTTGAAATCTCTTCCCGGACCAGAGCAACAGTGAAAACTCACGTCAAAATCTTCAAAGATGGCAAAAGCATGGACGTGTTTGAAGGAGAGACTGCTCGACCCGCTGCAGGGACAACTGTTGTCGTTTGTAACTTCCTCCACAACATGCCTGTGCGGAGGAAGAGGATGGATGCTGTTCTGGAGGGTGAGAGGATCAGACACAGGGTGGAGGCTATTTCTCTGATGCACCCCTCGGTGTCTTTCACCCTGAAGAATGACTGCACAGGGGCCATGATGGTGCAGCTTCCTAAAGCTAGAAACACCTACCACAGGTTTGTTCAGATACACAGCCTTGGGAGAGCACAGAAACTTGGAGAAATCAGCTACACACACGGACAGTTTGAAGTGATTGGTTATATTGGCAGAGAGGGCCACTACAACAACAGTTTACAGTTCCTGTATGTAAACGAGAGGCTGCTCCTCAAAACACGGATACACAAGCTCCTTAATTTTCTCCTACGCAGACTGAGCAATTCAAAACAAAAAAATGACAGTCCAGATATGCAGTCAGCCGTGAGAAGTCCAAAGACCAAACGGAGCCAAGACCCCCATGGAGTGTACGTCATCAATATGAAATGCTCTTACTCCGAGTACGACATATGCCTTGAGCCTGCTAAAACTCTAATAGAGTTCAAAGATTGGGATGGCGTTTTGCTGTGCATAGAAGAAGCAGTGAAAGCTTTCCTGAGAAGGGAGAACTTGGTGGCCGTGCTTTCTCAAGATGACTTCGACAAAGCACCTGCTGAATTGTGTGGCACTCGCATTACAGTTGAAGAGGGGCATAACACTGGCAATGTTGGCCAAGGAACAAGCAGTGCTTCCGCACTAGATTGCAGTATTGGAATGAAACTGGCATCTGATTCTGTCCATCGAAAGCGCCAAGATGACTGTGTATGTGAGGAAGATGTTAGCAGGGAGTCTGGTCAGGTGGAGGGCAAAGAAGAGACTGAACAACAAAGGAAGGAAAAGATAACCGCAAAGCAGTTGGAAAGTGAAGAGAGCATACATAAAGATGTTAGATGTGAGCCATCATGTGATCTAGCTAGACTCAACCCTACATCTGATATTAAGAATAATGTAGAAGAGGAGTCCAGTGAAGCTGGTGAAGGCTCTGACGTTTTTTGTAAGCCAAGTTCAGCCGTACAGCTAGAGGGTGAAAAGCTGGAACTCTCAAAAGAAAATGACATGTTGATAAACAATACAGACTCAAACGGCAATGAGACTTTACTAGACTGCTTCGCTCAACAAATTCAGCCTGAAATGAACTATATTGAGAAAATATTACCTGACTGCCCGGGTACAGGAGGACATCATCACACTTTAGTAAGCGACAGAAAGATCAGTCTGTCCGATCCATATATCCATGAGAATCTGCTGACTCGGGACATGTCACAAATGAACAAGTCAGTGTTTCAGCAAACATCTGTGCAGATATGTGAAGAGAGATGTGTTGCATTAAAACGCAGAATCTCACTGGAAGCAAGGCAGGACAGAACTGGTCAGAAACAAGACTTCACTCATATCATTCCCTCAAAGATTCCCAGGATTTCAACGTCTCAAAAGTTGTCTTTATGCAAGGAGTCTGGATCGCTTGATAGATTCAGAAGAGTGTATGGTAAATCTGATGAACTGAAATTACCCTCTCAGGACAATACAAATAGATTTTCTCAGCCAGACGGATTTGTCATGCATTCGCAGAACAATTTGCTTTGCCAGAAAGATCAGCAACATGGTGGGGTGGAAAAAGTGGAAAAAGAGAAAACCAACAGCCCCCTAACACTCTCAGCATTCACCAAGTTAAAACCAGCCTCAGTGCAGAATAGAGGCAAAACATCTTTGGCAACTAAACTCTTCCAATTGAAACACCAGAGGGCAGACCATTCAAAAGTATTACCACAGGACAAGTGTCTCAGCACTGGTAACGATGACCCCCAAGACGGCAATAACAACGAGCATCACTGTGACACCGCTCTGAACCCTGAGGCGCTCCCGGTTTGCAGTACACATCCTCTGGCGGCTGAGGGGGAAGAGGCCTCAGGTGACTGGCTCCATCACTACGAAGCATCTGTGGGAAAGACGGTGTACGTCAACAAAGTGACCGGGCTCAGCCGATATGACGACCTGCCTCCTGAAGAAACAACAGTGCGCTGTACGTCTGATGTCACCAACATGGCCGTTAGTGTCATCAATAAAATGGGTGAGCCA